GGCTCCGTCTCAAAAAAAAAAAAAAAAAAAAATTTTACCCTTCTTTATTTTGGCTCTTGGTCAATAAAGATGAGATGTTATTTGCTGCTCTATTTACAGCCAGTGGATTATTATCGCCAGCAATATGGTAACAGTCAGACCATTCAGTCGCTCCCTAAAAGATAAAAAATCCATATTAAAACAGAAGTAGCAAACTGTAAACAATAATTATTTCAATCAATTGCCAAAAAACAAAACAATCCAGTGCTTTTCTAAAGTGGCAAAACATTGCATATTATCAACTGTGCTCTTCCCTTTGCTAAAAGCAGGGTCTCTGCTTAGAGAAAGCAGGGTCAACCTGCTCAACACCTACCTTCCTTTTGAGACCCTGCTCAAATGTCATGTCCTCTCTTAACATCAACCCTAACTCTCCAAGCTGCCTCTCTCATCTTCCCCTCCCAAACCACTACACACATACATACCCCTGCCACTGGGCTTGTTCTATTTTATTTTTTTTAGTTTTTGTAATTTTTGGCTGGGGGGGGTCAGGTTTGAACCTGCCACCTCTGGCATATGGGGCTGGCACACTACTCCTTGAGCCACAGGCGCCACCCTCGCTTGTTCTATTTTTAATAATTTATATCCCTGTGTGCCTCCCAACTAATCTGGGAGCTCCTGGAGAACAGATCTAGTATTTTATTCTATCTCTCACCTAGCAGTGTCTGGCATACTAAGTAAATCCTAAATAAACATGTTATAAAGAAAATTAACCAATTACGGGTCAGCACCTATAGCACAGTGGTTATGGTGCCAGCCACATGCACCAAGACTGGCAGATTAGGACCCGGCCGGACCAGCCAAACAACAATGACAACTGCAACAACAACAAAAAATAAATAGCGGGGAATTGTGGTAGGCACCTGTAGTCCCAGCTACTCAGGAGGCTGAGGCAAGAGAATTGCTTAAGCCCAACAGTTTGAGGTTGCTGTGATCTATCCAGGGCAACAAAGTAAGACTGTCTCAAAAAAAAAAAAAAAAAAAAAACTAATCATATCAAACTAACTAAACCTATACCTTTTTGTGGTTGTAGGAATTTATGTAACTTGATATATTAGCCTATTTGAGAATTTCAAAATGCAATTTCCCTTGTATCATGGGGTTCTGAATGCTAACTACCATATCAGTAAAAGGATTTTCTAACTTTAATCCAAAAACATGACTGGAATATAAATACAAAGCTGTCACATACCATTTGTGGGATGCTGTGACATGTGACCCCAGGCCTGAATAAAGTTCCATCCAGATTAACTGAGGTTTGTGATATGAAAGCAGAGAAACTTTCTGCCTCTGCTTAGGGATGAGAGGCAAATACCTCTCCCTTTGTAAATAGTAATACACCCCTGAACCATGATTATATAGCACTTTCATGTCTTCTGCCCAGACACTTAAGGATGATGACATACTCCTGTCTATAATCCTGTAATGACTTCAAACAAAAGCAAAATTGAAATATGCCAGAATTTACAGTGGGTGGGTTTACAGAAAGAACTAACAAGAGTTTGATAAAAGCCTCAGTAATTCTGAATCCCCTAACTTTTTTAAAAAACTATTTGCATTTTCAGCATCAATAAGAGTTGGGGTTTTTTTACAGTACTCCCAAGTTTGAAAAAAATATTCTAGGGTGAGTGTAGTGGCTCAGGCCTGTAATCCTTGTACTCTGGGAGGCTGAGGCAGAAGGAATGCTTATGGCCAGGAGCTAGAGACCAGCCTGAGAAAGAGCAGACCCTGTCTCTACAAAAAATAGAAAAATTAGGTGGGGAGATGTGTCTATAGTCCCAGCTACTTAGGGGGCTGAGGCAGAAAGATCTCTCTCTTTTTTTTTTTTTGAGACAGAGTGTCACTATGTCACCTTTGGTAGAGTACCACGGCACCATAGCTCACAGAAACCTCAAACTCTTGGGCTTAAGAGATTCTCTTGCCTCAGCCTCCCAAGTAGCTAGGACCACAGGCGCCCACCACAACACCCACCTGTACTTTTGTTGCAGCTGTCACTGTTGTTACCAGACACAGGCTGGGCTCAAACCCACCAGCTTCACTATATGTGGCTGGCACCCTACTCACTGAGCTACCGGCACTAAGCTAAAAGGATGAGTTCAGGAGTTCAAGGCTGCTATGAGCTACAATGATGCCATTATACTCTAGTCCTGGTGACAAGAGTGAGACCCTATCTCAAAAAAAGAAAAAAGGGGCTTGGCATCCGTAGCTTAGTGAGTAGGGTGATGGCGACATACACTGAGGCTGGCAGGTTTGAGCCCAGCCTGGCTGGGCCTGCTAAACAATGACAACTGCAACAAAAAAGCAGCCAGGGCGTTGTGGTGGGTGCCTGTAGTCCCAGCTACTTGGGAGGCTGAGGCAAGAGAATCTCTTAAGCCCAAGAGTTTGAGGTTGCTGTGAGCTGTGATGCTACAGCACTACTGAGAGCGACATAGTGAGACTCTGTCTCAAAGTGTTTTATACTTTGGTGAACAAATCTGTGTATATATATCCTATCAATTCCTTTCATAATTTTATTCATTTTGAACATGTATTAATTTAGACTTTCCTACACTGACAACCTCATGACTAATCTTAAGTAGAAATGGCTCAAGTTTTTAGCGGGGGTGGCCTTCTTTTTGACTCCACTCTCAAGCTGTGTTGTGTATTTCTAAGGTCACATGTGGTGACCTTACCTGTTATTTCATACATGTATTATGGTCTAATGTTGGAAAACAACACTGCTTTGTTCCCAAAATCCTTTTAAACACAAGTGAGTTTCCTCTGTGTGAGTCTCTCTTTTTTTGGCCAGGGCAGGGTTTGAATCTGCCACCTCTGGTATATGGGGCCGGCGCCCTGCTCCTTAAGCCACAGGCACTACCCTCTCTCTCTCTCTTTTTTTTCTTTTTGGGACAGTTTCACCTGGTCATCCTTGATAGAGTGCCATAGTGTTGTATCTCACAACAATCTCAAACTCTTGGGATCAAGTAATTCTCTTTCCTCGGCCTCTCAAGTTGCTGGGACTATATGTGCCTGCCACAATACCCAGCTATTTTTAGAGACAGGGTCTCGCTCTGGCTCATGCTGGTCTGCAACTTCTGAGCTCAAGCAATCCAGCCACCTTGGCCTCCCAGAGTGCTAGGATCACAGGCATGAGCCACCTCCCTGAGCCACTGTGTAAATTAATCTTTAGCCAGATTAATTTACACTAGCGGTCACTAGCCTAGCCAAACATGGTAGGTACACAAGAGTTGTTCTTGGATTTTAACTCCCAGATCGCAGATATCATTTCTAATTATGGTTTGGATTATTTTTCCCTCTGTGAGTTGGATTTTCTCATCTGTCCAATTTCTGCCCACTCCTAAGATCTAAAGTACCTCCCCACAGTGTATTCCAATTGGCTTTCAGTATACGACATGCAAGAACTTGACTATGTTTTAACACAAATATAAATGATTTTACTGGAAGCTCCCTTGTCCAAATTGTTTTTAACATATAGATGATACTATTCTCCCTGAATCAGTATCTACTGTTAAATATCATCCATTTAGAAAATGCCTTTCCATGTCCTGCTTTGCTTTAAGCAGTTTTCATGAGTCCTCTCAATATCACAGAAATTTTGAAAACTGTTTAAGAGCATTTGGTATGTAAACTTGTCAGAC